ATATAGCCCGTCTTCGAACTTGTCCTGCATGCAGACAAAAGATTGACCTGTGCAAAATGTTAGCTTCCTATCTTAGTTCGTTTTGGCTCTAGCGTGATTACAACAGAAAAAATTTTATGCGGTTCAAGATTATATATACTTTGTAGGGTCGAAAATTATTATTTCGATGAGTTACATACAGAATGATGAACTTAATATACCCTCCATACCATGTAAGGTGGAGGGTATTATAAAGGAATCAGTCCTTTCCCGTACTAGTTATGATTTAAATATTCGCCTAAAAGTATGCTCTACAATTTATATACCTGCTTTTGCCGGGCCCTGCCTTAAAACATATGTCTGCACTTGTCTATGACAAATTTTCGACAAATCGCAATCGATCTACCACAATTCCACCACAAGTCTACTTCATAAATGCAAAATTTTCAAATATAATCTGTTGTGATCTGTCACCAGACTGCTGTATTCAATAGTCTTCTCAGTTCCCCATTATTATATAAACCACCCATATGTGATACTCCATTTCTCCACTTCTTACTTTCCCTCCCCCTCAATATATTTTGTATATTGTAATTATATTTACATTTTTTGTCGCTACTGGAATGTAACAAACGACCAAGTAAGTGAATATAGTGAAATGTAGCCATAAATGAAAAAGTGTATGGATGTGTGTGTGTGTGCAAAGTTACTTTTATGAATGAATTTTTTCAAAAAGGCGGTTTACAAACAAAACCATGCAATTCCATCATCATCATCGCCATCACCAACCATAATGGCATTTCGTGCGTCGTCTTTTTGGCGGTTTCGAACGATATATTGGCTTTCATGCTTTTCTGCAATTTTTCTTTTACTGGATTATGGGCACCATGATGGTGGTGGGTTGGTTATGTGCATAGCCCCCAGACTGGCTGACTGCCTGGTTGAATGGCGGCGGTCTGTTTTCAGCGACTTCTGTTTACTATTTCCGCTTAACGTTGTTTGCCTCCTCATTGTTGTTGTTTTTTTTGTCAAGTTACTTGGGCGCCGAAGAAAAGTAAGCAAGTAACAGCAGTGTCGGTAATCATAGTCAGAGTCAGTCACTATAGGTATATGTAGTTGATTGTAGTAACTCATGTATAACGAACAAAATGTTCATTCATTAATTCATACGCTCCGCTCGTTCATTCATTTATTCATTCATTGAACAAATGGTTGCTTACATTTTTTGCCGCCTTCCTTGATATTGTTACAGTTTCTTGCTGCTGCTGCCGCTGTTGTTATTTGCTTTCTTTTCAACTTGGCGAACATAATTAACTTATATTTTTTATTTGTTTATTGCCTATATACACACACAGACACACCACCACCAACAGCAGCAACAGCAGTTGTCGTCGTCGTTGAGCCAGTTAAATTGGAAAAGATAGCAATCAGCGGCAGCAAAAAAGAAGAAAAACAAAAAAAAAACATTCCCAAACTAAAATTACTTGGGAACACACAATGTAACACACATTTTTTCCACCCATTTATGGCCACAAATTCTCATAGAGCAACAGGCTTGGAATTTTGTTGCTGCTGCTGCGTTTCTTTTTTTTATTGTAGTTTTGCAATATAAACTATTAATACCCGCCGCCGACAGCATGCAGTAAAAGTTCTACATCGTTTCATTAGCTAATTAGAATGATTTCCCGAAACACGAACGAAAACAGGAGGAGGAAATGGCAATGTCTGCATCATTATTAAGATACCATGGGTGTAGTATGCCTCCTCCCAGGAAAATATTGTGTGAGAGAGTTTACCTTCAACATTCCATCAGAATCATGGGGAACTTGTTGTGATTTTAGATGCCACTACAAAAAAAAAAAAAATTTGATACCAATAACAAAAATCCCATGTCTGTGGGTTTCTAGGTGTTTCCCTGTAATCTCCTTCCAGTCTTGTCAATCTTATATCTATCCGCCTTTTTTCAACTCCAAACCTCAATTTGAAAGAAATTGATTTTTATTTTTAGCCTATCTTTTTCTCGGGAATCTTAAAGATGTGTAAACGTAACACTGTCAATCATGGGACCATCAATCATAATACGAATTACAGATAAAAGATGATTCTCACAAAAAAAAATCAAGTAAAAAAGCTGTAAATTCCGCCGGACCGGTCTTTGAATTTGGAACGATTTAAGCAATTTTAATAAAAGTATAATCCGTTAAAAATTCAGTTAAAATCTTAAAAATATCCACCTATTGTCATAAACCATTACAATATTCAAATGCGAAACTTGAAAAAAATCGGTGAATAATGTATCTAAAATCATCAAAATACCAAATATTGGGAGATACCGTTATATGGGGGATACACGATGAAGTGGACCAGCACAGACAATTTTCTGTCATAGGCTGTAGTACCCATTACGAACTTCAAACACCAAATTTTGAACAATTCCGGTGAGTAATGTCGTTAAAATCATCAAAATACCGAATATATGGAGGTAACGTTATATTGGAGCTATACGAAGAAGTGAACATGCACAGACAATTTTCTGTCATAGGTTGTAGTATCCATTACGAACTTCAAATACCAAATTTGAAACAATTCCGGTGTATAATGTAGCTAAAATCATCAAATACCGAAAAAAGGGAGGTACCGTTGTATGGGGGATTTACGAAGACGTTGACCTGCACAGACAATTTTCTGTCATAGGCTGTAGTACCCATTACGAACTTCAAATACCAAATTTGAAACAATTCCGGTGAATAATGTCGCTTAAATCACCAAAATATAGAAAAAGGGAGGTACCATTATATGGGGACTATACCAAAACGTGGACCTACATCACCCATTTTCAATACTAAAAGTCCTGCAGACATAATACACATTTGAGTAAAATTTTATCAACCTACTTCATTTCGTTTGGAAGCTAGAGTGATTTCCACAGACGGATAGACGGACGGACATGGCTAAATCGACATAGAATTTTATGCTGATCAAGAATATATATATACCTTGTGGGGTATATTTCGAGGTGTTGACAAACTTAATATACCCTCCATACTCTGGTGGAGGGTATAAAAATAGACGAAAAATGCAATAATTTTGTTGTCATATTATTGGGAAGAGAATTGCAATACCATTTCGCAATTGATGAAGGAGGGAAATTCCTGATTTTTCAGAAGGAATTCCTGGTGCCAAATTCTTTTATTTTGTCTCCTCATTTTAGATTGATAGGAAAAAAATGATACAAACAACTGCGGTTCAACTCTAGCATTATGTATTTATTTATCCGTTTCTTTCGAAATTTTCAAGTAAATTACAAAATTTTCAATATTATATGTTTTATCTGCCCTACCTTTCAAATCGGTTCCATATTAAATTCCTCCGCCAACAAAAAAAAAAACACAATGATCTATGAGAACTTCCATTTCCTATAACATCTTTATTAAGTCATAAAAAATAGTCGACGAAAACGAACCTTGTACGTCAGAGAACAACTCAAGCAGAAACTAAATATTTTATTTTTTCTCGCCAAGATTTCAAAGTTAATTCATACATTTTTTATGTAAATTCCAAATTTATTTCATTTATTTAAATATCAAACATTTGTTTTCGTTGCTGTTGAAACTAGTTTCCCACACAATCACCAACCAACCAAACAATGAAATACATCTGTTCGAAGGTGTAGTCCAAATATAAAATATTAAAATTAAAAAAATTATATCATAAATTGTTCTTATAAATAAATAAAAAAAAAAATGAAACAAACTCGTTTCGTTCATATTATCATCATTCATGTAAAGCTTATGAATGGACGTTCAACGTATAACGTAACTCTCTTGCTTCTAGGTGAGTGTGTGTGAGTGAGAGAGAATAATAATCACGAAATGATTTTTATTAGGGATGACCGTAAGAGCTAAGAATTGATAATGAAATGGGAAATATATCAGCCGGTACTTGAGAAGAGTTATAGAAAATCCCAGAAAAAGTCGCAGCCGTTTGATTTACATTTGATGAGCCGCCGCCTCCAAAAAATTGTGCCGTTTCGTTGTGTGGTCGTTACATTCCACACCATTTTTAAGAAATACTACTTTTGTGCGGTTACCAAAACAATTTTCAGTTTTATTTTTAAAATCGTATATCAAGTGGAGATTTATATAGCAAAAGCCATTCATTATTATTTAAAAATGGCAACCCCTATATCAAATAAAAGTTCTAAGCGCTATTCCTACGCTTTGTTGCCACTGTTATTCAAATCGAAAAAAGGTATTCTGTCATTTGTTTGTTTCAAATTTTCTATTGAAAATACTTAGTTTGGTATTTTTTTTTTTTTTGTTTTCACAAAATCAAACAGAGCATCATATTTCACATATAGAACCATACTTCCACCCACCTCCCTTTACCCCCTCTCTCTGTATTCTTCCAATCATTCATCCATGCACATGGCGAGAATTCCTCATGCGAATGGATGTTTGCCCCGTTCATGTCTGTCTCTCAGTTACAACCGAACAACATTACAACAATCGCAGTCATTTTCAGTTTTGTTTGAATGAAAGCGCGATGCGATATGATGTCAGCAACGCAGCAACAAAAACATGATTTACAATTGAATGGAATAGAAAAAGGCAAAAAAAAAAACATTCACATCCGCTAAATATGAAACTTTTAAGTAAACAAATTTGGAATGAAAGCAGAGTAGCAGAACGCCCAAGCGGTAGGGTGTTGCTATACTGCGGCTCTCTGGCTGGCTGCTACTGGGGCTATATGGACTTTGTCACCTTTTAAATGGAAAAACATTAAATGCACAGTATCGTATGAATTGTTTATAGGAAAAAAAGCAGGCCCATAAAAAGTTTGAATGTGTGGGGGGTTACTGGAAACATATACCACATTCAAATTGTTTAAAGTTCCTTATATTATCCAAGATATAATTTTCACAACAAACATCCATTTTTGTGCCAAGTTGAAATCCCTACATGCATCAAGTTGTCTCACATTACATAACAGCAACTGAATTTTGTCCTCTACTTTTTCAGATGGTTTCTGCAGTTTTCGCCAAACATTTCCGGAATGGTGTGAAGATGATAGTCTACAAAACAAAGAAATGGAATCTAGTCGTAGCACCCAGGCAGATCAATTGATGGGTTTAAGGTAGGTTCGCAACATCATCTTTTTTAGATTTTTGTTTAATTTAAAAATTGATTTTTATTTTCATTTAGGTCTCTACGTATATCCACACCACATTCCGATTCGGCCTGCAGCAGCTCGGCGGAATCAAGCGATTGTGAAGGAACCTCACATCATGGTTTGAATGAGGCCCCGGTTGAAATAATTCCGAATCTATTTTTAGGAAATGCCATGCACAGTAATGATGCCAGAGCCCTACAAAAATACAATATTAAGGTAAGGAATACAATAAAATAATAAAAACAACATAAATTCAGACGAATATTTATGAACAATCCGGCAGCATCATTTGCATATCCTCTTATAAAACGTCCTGAATTTAAATTTACTAATTTTACTTCTCCTTTCCATTTTGCAGTACGTTCTAAATGTAACTAAAGATCTTCCAAATGTCTTCGAAGCTTCTGGCGGCATACAATATCTACAAATACCCATAACCGATCACTACTCACAAGATTTGGCGATGCATTTCCCCTCGGCAATACAATTCATAGGTATGTGTGTCGGCGTTTTCCTTCATTCATTTCATTCCTCAATAAACCATTCTCTTTCAATTTCACAGAGGAAGCTCGTTCCAAAAATTCGGCCGTGCTGGTTCACTGCCTGGCTGGCGTTTCACGTTCTGTTACCGTAACGTTGGCCTACTTAATGCGTACACAAGCTTTAAATCTCAACGATGCTTTTACTCTGGTGCGAGATCGGAAACCGGATGTATCGCCAAACTTCCATTTTATGCAGCAGCTGCATTCGTTCGAACGTCAGCTACGTTTGAACACCAACGAGGCCATGGATCAAAGCGGCAGCGGTGTGGGAGTGAATGTCATAAATACCGACATTTCCATGCGTCCTTGTGGTTCATCGAAATTCTCCTGTAATTGTATATCGACCGATTGCAAGTGCATACAATCGGGTGGATATATAGCCCAGTTGGCCAAAGCCGCTACCGGAATTTCACCCGATTCCGGTATTGAATTTGACCGATGGACACCGTCATCGGATACAGGACTTAAATGAGATCAACTTGTAGGAAAAAGTTTTGTACTGCCACCCACCAGCAATGAGCCACCACAGTCGCTAAATGCCGACAATATGTCACCGGCTTCCACCAACTCTTCCTCAACATCGACCACAACCACCATCGAGGCGGTATCCGTGGTTGAAGTTAACAAGAAGCCCAGCGCCGAAGAGTGAGTGCAATTGACAAACCGCAAACAGGACGTACAAAACCTTTTCCTACTCGTTTTAATCTGCCACAGCACAAATTTTTTGTCTCCCTCCCCCCTCATCTTCCTTTTTCCTATTCTATTGTTTAACCAAAACTTTAAGATCCTATTTTTAAAAAACAAAATAATTGTATATTGTATTACACACCTGAAAATATATATTTGGGTTTAATAAGTTTCCACAAAAAAACGGAGGAAAAAACCTCTGCCCCATACATAATTAGTTGAGTTGTATTCTTGAAGAAACAAAAAAAAAGAAAGAAAACACCCAAGTGTTGAATTGTTATTAAAATGTATTTAATTTTAAGAAAAAACAAAGAATGAAAACAAACAAAAAATCAAACCAGAAAACCCCTCCTACCCTGAAAACACATTCTAACTTGTAAAACATTTTGAAATGTTTACGAAAAGCAAATAAAAAAGAAAAAATAAGAAATATTTAATTAACTTGTGTATGTACAACGTACATACACAACACCATACTATTTAAGTCATTTATAATAATTAATATTATTATTATTATAATTTAACTGAATGGGAAACCCTAAACCAAGTTATTACCACAACAACAACAGAAACATGAAAAAGAATATTGTAATTTATACATAAGTATTCAAAAACCATGTAATAGTCCATATATACATATATTTATAAACAACAACAAGAAAACTGAAAAATGAAAGCAAAATATTAAAAAGAATTACTAATTTTTTATGAAATACAAAATCATTAAAACCTGAACATTTATTAAACAAATGAAAATAAACTGTATATTTTGAAACAAAACGAGCAAATTTACGTAATATTTTTTTTTTTTTTTTTTTGGAATACCCTTTCTAATTATTGATTGGGTTTGAGATCAAGTATATTTTTCGCCCCAGTGGTTAGTTATGTGTAGAAATTTTAAAATAGAAATAATTTGTTACTCAATATTGGAAGGTGTTAAAAAATATAACGACTATGACCCATGATGTCCATGACCCATGGATTTTGTTTTGATAACTGGCTCAACAATATTTGAGCTCCAAAGAGTCATTGAAATGGATAGAAGTTATTTTTTTTTAGAAAATTGAAAATTTTAATTGAGATGAAAAGAAAATTTTGTATGGAATATAAGTTCTGTGGAAAGTAGATTTCTATGTGGATATGCCATATTCCAAAGAAATTGTTTATTTATGGAAGCCGATGATTCCGAATAATAAGGTGAGGTTATCCCACTTTCAATTAACAGCTCACATTTATATCACCCAACGTTTGGCTCATATATATCACATATTTCAAACGGCTTGATTTACTTATCCAGAAACCCGAAAAATAAGGTTGTTGTTATTTTTATTTTCCAAATTTTGAACCACAGCTGAGCTACACTTTGTTCAAAGAATACAATTTTTGAGTGCATAAAATTTTCTTGCTTTCTTCTCTAGTGTTTATAAACATAATACCAGTGTAGTTTTGAGCCAAAACATTGCGAAATCCCCCCATGAGATTAGCACGCAACGAAGGTTTTTTTCTATAAAGATATAAATTAAACTGTGCAAATTTTCAAATAAATATAAACATATTGGATGAAAGAAAAATAACATATATGTATATTTGGAATTTGTACAAAGTACCATCAGGGCGTTAGAACAAACAAAATTAAAATATTTTATTAAGAAAGGCTGTGTAAAATAAGTAGATGCAAATCCAGACAAACAAAACCTGAACAAAGAAAATAACATTTCATACAAAAAATAAAATAAAGAAACCGGCAAACGGATCTAAACCACAAACCTAAGACTTACATGCGGATGTATGTATGTATGTCTCCGAAGGCAAATGTCTAATACCACCTCTCTAACAATTTAAGTCAAAACAAATGAAAACAAACAGAAACTGAAACGCATATTATTTTTTATTGAAACCATTTACATTGTGGCAAATGGTCATAAATCAATCTCAACAGGAGGACATTTGAATAGGCTAGAGTATTTAAAGAATATAAAAAGAAAAAAAAAAGAAACACCCACATATTTTAAACCAGAATAATAACTATTACCAGTGTTTTTGAAGTAAATTATGTGTATGAATTGCTAAATGGTTTTTTAGATGATAACGAGGAGTCTGGAGTGTTTTTAAACAAGAAAAATTTTGTGTAACCCTTAACCAAAAATCAAGTTTTTTAAAAAGAACACAAACAAATGTTGATGTTGAGAACAAATTTTTAAGTAAAACCACAACCTCAATCCTTTCATGAGACCCCTTGAAACCAGGACAAATATTTTGAAAAGAAAAAAAGAAATAAACGTTTTTAAATGACAAACAAAAAATGCCAAATTCAGAAACAAAAAAAAATGAAACTTAAAAAAGCAAAATGCATATTAATAAATTTTGCACATTAGTAAATTTGTAAAAGGTAAAAATATTAAAAACAATAAAAAACAATTTTTGAAAACCATTTGCTTACGTTGTCATTTTTTTCTTGCTAATGAAATACCCGCTTTTTTCGTACAATGGACAGAAAACTGTTTTTATTCAATATTGCTTTTTTCCAATGACCATAAAATGGAAAGCAATGACAAACAGATACAGAAAACAAATTCAAACATAGGTGTTTGGTGCCAAATCGGTATGGAATATAAAAATGATAAATTCGAAAAATAGAACACTTAAAAAATACTGCACACACAGACAGAAACACAGTATATCGTAAACCTAAAGCATAAACTTAATGAGTAAGTCTTTGGAACATAAATACATAGAATTTTAAATGCGTTTATCTAAGGACAACCTGCCCTAGCTATAGGAGCTGCTACCATTATTTAGTAAAATATTGTCATTGTTCGTTGTGGCATGGGCAGTCGCGGTTTAGAGACCTTTGTTGAAGTATACCTTGGCAGGTACATTTCCTTTAGTGTTTTCTAACATTTCCTCATAGAACTCCGGTTCAAGGCGTTTAATGGTCGATGTGTTCAGAGAGCTAAAAAAGTGGAAGAATTCGGATATGGTCTATGGCAAAATATGTTGCAGAGGAAAATACATACCAAGTTTGTGGGAACAGAGCACACGCAGTTGGCACCATAAAAAGTAAGCTGAAAGATTTGAATGTTAAAATATTTAAACAATGAATAGACAATTTATTGAAGTTCGTCGTTGTATCGTTATTCCTGATATCGGACGAAAGGGGCAATAGGCCTACGAAACCTAAATGCAGGAGCACACTTTTAGGCGCTTTTTTTAAATGTAATGTTAATGTATCAAATTTTAGTGTCAATGATATGCAATCTAGTATTGAAACCCTTTATTCTTGATTAGACGCCAAACTTGCACAAATATATGGCCTAGAGCAGCTCTGCTCAACAGCGAGAGTACGCTTATCAGTAAAACATAATAACATACAAACATAAACATATTTTTTGCTGCTGGATGTACTAAAATATGGTTTGGAGCACTCAAGCCAAAATTTAATTTGGATTTTTTAAGCTGTTTGCAATTCTATCATTAATTATCAATCATTTGCTTCGAGGCCGACATTTTAGCTCTTGTTTAGTAAGATACAAGCTTTGATATCCTGTCCTGAAAATTCTACCTTAATCAATTAAAACTTTTTTTAATCGGCAGTGTGTTTGTAATTATTCAACATCTAGAGAACAGACATATCGTTAAAGCTATTAGACCTGATAGTAAAAAAGAGATACTCTTTTAAAAAAGGTGTAAAATGATAAGCTTTGTAAATAAACAACTACAGGTTCCTAACTACACATTTTCATAATGAGATACGAACTTCTATGAAAATACAAAAAACTGATAAGCATGGCAAATAAATATTAGATTAAACTAAAATGTTTTACTCACAAACATCCAACCAAGGCCGTTTGGAAAGGTGCATTAATCCATTGCATACGTTTGTAAATTGGCAACTTTTCGACACGTTCCATAATGAAAGGCAATATTAACATACCAGGCGCAGCCATGGTAATACGTGAGAAAACTACTTGGCTGATGCCCTTCACGGCAGCCGTACGACTTTTGCCCACCACATTTCCATTTTCATCTTTTACCTCTATGCCATTGATAATTTCATTTTGACGCATTAGCGGGATATTGACACAATTTGCGGCAGCCACTGCTGCGAAGGGTACAAAACGCTGCGAAAGAAAAATGAAGTTTGATTATTTCATCTAGACGAAATTATATTTTATACAAACATACCTGGAATATGGGAGTTGCCTTCTTGGTCCAATAGTTCTTTAGACCAATGGCTGCAATTAAAGCTGAACTGGTGGCCGAAACATATGAAACACCCAGCTGCGTCACCGTGGTTGGCGAGTTTGCATTTCTGTTGGTGTAATTGACAACAGCATTAAAAGATTGATTTATGAATTGCCACAGGACGACAGCAGGGACAGTACGATAAAAAGCCAACATGCCACCAGTGATGAGCATACCGCCAGGCACCTATTTAGTGAAATAGTAAAATTAAAATCTTTCCTACAATTTGCAATAGAATTCGGGCTAAATGTAATGGGTTTGTTGGGTATTTAGTTGGCAGTCATTCAAAATCTAGTATTTACATGAGATACCTATAGATAAACATTTTGAAAAGTGAACATCTGTTTGTTTTAATCTCTGCTATCACGCGACTATCAAACGTGCCACACATCATCATTACAAAATAGACACATATATAGCCCATTAATGAGGATTTGTGAATTTGTTCATTCCCAATGAATCAACAATGACGCTAGATAATTGGATAACAATGTACATTCATCAAGGCTTTTTTGTGCTTACTTGGAAACTCATGCGGCCACAGAAGTTTTGTAATTCTCCAGTGTCTGGGTGGAAAGCTGAATTATATAATTTCATGGCATATTTCACTTTGTCGGGAGTTGTGTCTAGGGCTTCTCCTTTACGATAGGCATCGACTAGACTCTTGGCTTGTAGTAATCGATCGCTGGACACAACAACTGTTCTTGGGTCTGTCATCCAGGCGAAATGTTGGAAGCGCCCCTTAAAGGTGGACAAGTCATAGAGTGGCTTGTCAACATCAATTCGCTGTGCTAAGGCTGGCGGAAAGGAAAGATGAATGGAAGGATTACCAAGATTGTTTTACTGTTTACTTCACTTTTCTTACTTTGCATTTTTATTGCTGTAGGTTTTGGACTTGGAGAATTACGTAAGTTTAATTGTTTGTGAATTGTTTTGGACTCTCACAGCAACAATGGATATTATTGCAGGAAATGAGTGGTAGTGCGACGAACAGACTAATGGCACGGTTTCTTCTTGTGTTTTGTCCCAACAACACACAACAGCAAATTTAGAACTGCAAACACAATTCTGTCCGTCTTCTGTTAAAAAATAGCAAGAAAAAACGAAAACGAAATTAATATTCAAATATATGTAAGTACCTGTGCAATAGACACCAACAGCAATAAAGCTCGTCTGCCTTAAACAAAAAATTAACACCTGTTTTAAGCAAAAAATAACAAAAACATGTTCTGATTTGGCTTACATATATTTTAGTATTGACCTGTGAATATATCAATGAGAGTGTAGATGCTAAAACAAAACAAAATCTTCAAATATTCTTGCCGAAGATTTGTTTGGATACCGTCCAACAAATCAGTTTTATTTTATTTTTGCACGATTTAATTATATATGAATAATTCAAATGAAGTAACGAGCATAACTACATATAATTTTTGTTTTACAAATCAATTATAATTTTTTTAATTTTAAAAAATCGCGAAAATACGTAAAAATTTATAGCGAACTTACATCTTGGGGGCTCCTCTTTTCCGGTGTGAATGTTTTATTTTCATTCATTGGTTTGTATTCCAACGCTTTGTACGGCGCACCCTCCAACAAATCATATGCTCACAGTGTTTTGATATAGGAAAAAAGAAAATTAAAATTTATTTCTATAGAAAATTATTACATTTTTAATTGATTTCCTCTGAATATGACATGTTCAGTTTCAAACAAGGACCAAGAAATTAAGCGACAGCTTTCGAATATATTCATCAATTTTTCAGAACCATTTCTTTCATTCAGGTATTATTAAATAAATGTTGTTGGCATGATGTAAAGTATTTGGTGACAATTTGGGCTAGTTGGAGATTCACGTACGAAAGAAGATAAATATAAAAAAGACTGACATCCGTAACAATATAGCTTTCATACACTGTACCAAGGTAGATCTAACATCTACCTTGCACTGTACTACACTCTCAGCTGCATTGTAATCGTTTCAGGGATACATAGTGAATTAATTGTGTAAACGAAAGTGAAAACGCATAGCCCTAACATATGCTATTATTTGGCACAACTGCAAATATATATTGAAAGTTAACCAATAGTATATTCGGCCCTATTATGGTTGTCGTCGGCGTCGCAAAATTAAGTCGAGGCGACAATAATGATATTAGGGTTGTCGTTTTTTGTCGATAGCGACAAATGGTTGCCATTATCATTGTCGATATAACAGTCGACGTGAAGTCGATTTTTGAGAATATCTGTCGCCGTAAAAAATTGTGACGACATAGTACTTTTTAGTCGACGTTGATATTGTAAGCATTTTGTATTTGATATTTGACCATGAAAATAACAATCGGCCCTATTATGGTTGTCGTCGGCGTCGCAAAATGAAGTCGAAGCGACAATAATGATATTAGGGTTGTCGTTTTTTGTCGATAGCGACAAATGATTGCTATTATAACTGTCGATACAACAGTCGACGTGAAGTCGATTTTTAAGAAAATCTGTCGCCGTAAAAAATTGTGACGACATTGTATTTTTTAGTGGACGTTGATATTGTAACTTTTTTGTATTTGATATTTGACCAAGAAAATAACAACAGCAAAACAATTTGAAATGTTAGTTTCCGAATTGAATAAAAAAACCATGTTTGCCAAAGGGTTTACCAAAGGTAATTTTCCAGCTAATTTTAAATTAGATTGGAATCCATTGCTACAAAATTAAATGTAAACGGTCACCGATTAGAGACTGGCAAGAAGTATATTAAAGTTAAAATTATTTTTGTATGTTTTTATTAGTTAGTTTTCTAAAGTTCGTCTAGGTTTGGAAAAATTAAAAATGTAAAACTAAAAAACAATTGTGCACAATAAGGGTGAAGCCAGCAGCACTGGAGGTGATATTTTTAAGCAAATGACTTTGTCGCTTTGGGAGAAGTCCTTCGCGAACTTCGTGCATTTGGAGTAAAAAATACGGAAAACATAATTGTAACAGACGTTATAGATCATGAAAATGAGCCAGTGGAGAATGCTGATGACGAGACTGATGTAACTACTATCCAAAATTCTCGATCGCCCAAAAAAAAAAAAAAAACAATGATATAAAATCATCAAGGAAAGAAGAAACTATTGAATTCTTGAAAGAGCAGTATAAACTTTTGGAACAACACAGTCAAGAGTCAGGCAATGCAAACATATTTGTTTGCTGGCTTAGCACTCGCCGCTGCTCTACTAATACATTCTCCACTTCATCCTCACTTGAACTTAAGCTATGTAATGCATTTATAATATCCATTGTTTCACTATATTTTTTATTTTTCCGAAAGAGACGAAATTAGAATTCAAAATAAAAACAAATTTTTATCGTATTTTGTCAATAACAAGGGATTGTTGCCAACGCCTTTTTTAGTTGTTGCCAACTTTTATTTTAAACTGTCGATGTCGCTTCCATGCCTTAGCGTAATACCATTTTTGAATCGAAGCGACGGTGAGGGCGACTTGCACATAAAGTCGACGACGACTATAGAAACGAAAACCGTAATTGGGCCGAATAGCAAAACAATTTGAAATTTTGGTTTCCGAATTGGAAAAAAATTCATGTTTAGCAATAGGATTTACCAAAGGTCATGTTCCAGCAAATTTTAATTCAGATTGGGAATCCATTGCTACAAAATTAAATGTAAACGGGCCTCCGATTAGAGACTCCGATGGCTGGCAAAAAGTATGTAAAAATTAAAATTATTATTGTATGTTTTTAATAGTAAGTTTTCTAAAATTAGGTTTGGAAAGATTTAAAAATTAAAACTAAAAAGAAACTTGTGCACAACAAGATTGAAACCAGCAGCAATGGAGGTGGCATTTTTAAGCAAATGACTTTGTCGCCTTTGGAGGAGTTTGTCGCGAATATAATGCAGTTTCAAAAGTTATTGAATCCACCAGGTCGTGAATAGACGTTATAGTTCATGAAAATGAGCAAGTGAACAATGCTGATGACGAGACTGATGTAACCTACTATTGAAGCTTCTCGATCGCACAGAAAAAAAAAAACAATGGTAAAAAGTCATCAAGGAAAGTAGGAACTATTGAACTCTTAAAAGAGCGGCGTAAACTTTTGGAACAACACAATCAAGAGCCAGGCAATGCAAATATGTTTGTTGGCTGCCTTAACACTCGCCGCTGCACAACTAATACATTCTTCTCTTCATCCTCACTTGAACTTAAGATATGTAACGCATTTATAATCTTCATTTTTACACTATATTTTTTATTTTTCCAAAAGAGTCGAAATTAGAATTCAAAATACCAAAAAAAAAAAAATATCTTTTTTGTCAATAACAAGGGAATGTTGCCAACGTTTTTTTAATTGTTGCCAACTTTTATTTTAAACTGTCGATGTCGCTTCTATGCCTTACCATAATACCATTTTTGAATCGAAGCGACGGCGAGGGCGACTCGCACATAAAGTCGACGACGACTATAGTAACGACAACCGTAATTGGGCCGATTATGTCATGTTATACAAATTTTCTGATCTTTGTCTTTCTTTTGTTTATAAAATTTCATCAGCATCCATACCCATCAAGATATTCGTTACTTTGAAATTACTCGAGTTAGGGATACGTAGGTCGACTTTTGAATAATCGATTGGTGCAGCCGATTTGCCATGTGTAATCGATAAAATGGTGATAAGACAGTAATCTATTTTGTTACCCCCGTTTTTGAATCAAAACAAACCGTTCCGTGCCCGAAAAAATTCACATACGAGTGAAGAATAGCAGCATGATTATCAACTTTTCATATGTTGATAATTACTAGTTTTGCCCTGTCATTCTTCCCGGTCAAAGTAATTCCTATTACAGTGATTTCGACAATCCACGCTTATACTACGTCTAGTCCAGAATAATTTTATCATTGTGATAAAAAGACTCTTGCAACATGTAACAACTGACTTAATAAAGTTATCTATTCACTTAATTCGCCAAGAAAAATAAATAAATCAACCAATATTTCACTTTAAACCCAATTTAGAGTTGTTTATATTAATTTTGATTAAAGTTAGTTTTTACATCTAATATTATAATAAATACACAGATGATAACAAATATTAATAATTTTGAGTAATTATAAAGTTAGTTAAAATATAAACAATAACATCTATATAGACTAAAACCATGTGATGCCGAAAAAGTAAACATATCAATTGCAAAAATCCATCATTTAATATTAAGGTTCCATTATATTTTTATATACAAGAATCTTACATATTTTTTATATCTATGAATTTGACCATAAATTCGTTAAAAATGTGATTGATATCGTTCTCTTTTTTTCTTAGTCTAAAACACACAAATATTAATAAAACAACAATTACATATAAAATAAATCAATACAAACGTATCTCACTTATACCCTATACAGTATATACTCGTAGATGTATGTAGACTACAGTTCCATATTATTATATATCTCATATGTTTTTCTTTTTTTTTTCAAAAAATTCTACTTATTGAGTGTCATTTGATTCCAGTGATTTCCTGAAGGAGGGCGATTCTCGTGTTAAAGGTGTGCCCGGTGCTGACGACGAACCCGAAGAGCAATAGAAACACGAGGAACTATGCGAACAAGCTGAGGATAAACGCTTACGCTGCAAATCCGAGTTTGAAGATGAACGACGCACCGTTTTTAAAGACAAGTCTTCACCACTTTCATTTGCATGTCTATGCTTCGGATTAGAGCAATTGCTGAGGAAATCATTTACCTGGCGCTGATAACGTATTTGATTTTTTAACATGGTAAGGTTGGTCGTCGATTGATTTTGATAGGATTTACGCAAAATGCAACTGGTCAAAAGGAAGGGAATGGCCAAAATAGCCAACAGGCCAAATAGCAAAATAAGCATGACATCCATAAGTATTGAACTCCAAAAATTCAGATGGTGAGAATGTGTTTTCAGATATTTCAGGCCTTTGGTCGTGAGTGTCATTTCAATTGCATTTATAACTTTATCCATTGGTTTCAGTCCCAGTATATCTTCGGTGAGTTGAGATTTAAGTACCGACAACGAGTCGTGGTATTTCTTGGTGTTGGTCAATGTTTCGTTTATAGCAAACAAAAGTTGATCATAGGATAGATCGTTATAATTTAATATAAAGGCTGAACCTTGTTCTTGTAGGTTTCTAGCCAGGACATGTTGCTCTGGTGTTATGGGTATAGCCAAAATAGGTTTGACAAAATTTATTGCTTCAGTTACACTCATAAAGCCGCAGGAACTTATAAACAGCTTAACATTAGTGTGAGCTAAAAGAGCAAATACTAATTTCAATTTTAAGATATTTATTGGAATACTTACCCAGTATAGCTTGTTGAGGCCACCAGTTTTGTACCATAACTTTGCTGCTTACATTCAAAGTCATTTCCAAAGGCTCGTCTTCATCGTATTTGACAATAAAACGCATATTGGGCAGTGTTTCAAAGACATCTAAAAACAACTCTATTTTTTCCTGGGGAAAGTCATAAACATTGGCTCCAAAGCTAATATAGACCACCCCCTGGACAGCTTCTTCAATAAATTCCTTCAAATGCTGTAAATAGAAACGATAAATTCCAAGATTCTCTTATTTGTGTTCGCATTACTTACCGTGGGTAAAACAAGCTCATTGTCATTATCATTTTTGAGATGGACTCCAGCTATAGTTAACATATTGGGCAAAAATGCTCTAGGATATTGTAGAACAGGATGTGTATTGATTAAAGCTAATGATAGGTTTTGAATGAGGTCCTTGTGGTCGGGTAAAGTATTACACCAGGGGGAGTTTTGGCAAAGAGGTTCAAAGTGTTTTGTGTAGACAACTTGTTGAGAGATCATATGGAAAAAGGAATAAGTTAACTTCTCAAACATAACCATTAACGTGTTTACACTACGTTGCCATAGGGTCATGTGTTTTGAGTAGGCGAGAAAATTACTAGGATCTAAGGCGGCATTTTGAGAATTGCCGAAACGTTGATTGAGCCAAGTGTTGGAACCACTTGGACTTATAACTACAGTAGGTATTTGATAGAAAAACGATAATCTGTGGGTTGAGAAAAAATAAAAATCAATAAATGCATAGATAGTGAAGTTAGCTTTGAAGTTCTACTCACCCCATTAAAGCATCACTTAAGAATAAATCCACAACTAGCAAGTCGAACTGTTGTTGTGAATGCAGCAACTCACGCACCTTTGGACTTTGTAACAATGCATCTGTGTTACTAGTGGTGGCATACATCAAACGTGTAAAATGTTCCAAAACAGATTTGCTGTACATTTCTTCAATGTCAAAGCTCAGCCCCATCTCCGTCCAATTCTCCAGCAATCCATCAATTTGTATTTCCTTAAATCTGGGATCATCCATTTCTGTGGAACTTTTTTCACGACCACCCCCTTTATAAGGGCTTACCAAAGTAACTGAGTAATTTCTTTGTTGCACCATTTGCTCCAGCAAATGATAACCAAATAAGTAATGAGATTTCCAAACGCTTGGCAAAACTGCCAGTACATGAGTTCCATGGCATTGTGGCATGGAACTTAGTACAAGCCATAAAATCAAGCAACATCCTTTCAAGAACTCCTTGAGTTTTAACATTTTTGTATTTCAGTCTTATTTTAGGAGGTCATATCTGCTTTTATTTGAATCCGCACCAATTTTTGTGATGTGTAGGTGTTGGCTGGCAATGTTGTTAAGCAAGATTTTCCATGCCCCTCTCGATTTTCCCAAAGAGATACGTGGTCAAATCCTGTTTTGCTACTATTGCTTTGCGTTTCTTTTTGCGACAACGCCTTGGTTTGGTGGTATTCGTATATAAATGCCTTGGATTTACATAACGTTAATAATTTATGCAAAAATTGTGTAATAAAAAATTAATGTATAATTGGTTTACGTTTTAGTACGCGTATATCTTTTGTATTTTTGCGAATTTGCAAAATAGATGACAGATAGGATGGTAAACAAACTAGTGTTATACAGTCCGACTTTTCACTAATTCATTAATCGACTTTTGACTTATCAACTATACATCCCTAAAACGATGACCAACACAGCTGGGAGTTTTATACGATATATGTCGTCAATATCGTTACGGATGGTAATAGTGTTCACTATTTAAATACATTTCTATTTCGTATTTAAAATTTATTCTGGCACAACACTCTATGCTTTACTAAAATTAAGAATAAACATCACATCAGTTCAACGCATGAAAAGTTACATTTTCATATCGGCCTTATCGGTCGAAACACAATGCAAGGCTTTTGTTCTGCTTTGCCATCACATTTACAAAATCTCTTGATGCTCTAAAGTCGATCTACTTGTCCCTAAAATCGCGTAACACCGACAAATTCGTCTCCTCAACGTGCGTGTATCTCTTCCTTGGTTCCTTGGCTAAGTATATATCAATATGTTAAGGGCCTCGTCTGGAATACTTAGCCGCCTCGCTGCTACGGAAGGCAAAGTAGGTAGTTCCGGATTCTCATTGGAATTTGTCCGTTGGAGACGCAAGCCCCGTTGGTTGCCTACGGCCAAAAGTAAATTGTTTCGTGTGCCGGAAAGAAAACAACAATCACCCGAAGAAAAGGCAGAACTTTTACGTCTTCACAACAATTACAAGTAATTTATCTCGATATGTTCAGCTAAATAACGATTTGACCCAATAACTTCCCCTTGTTATTATTTTTAGAACACAATTACGTTCCGTAAGACAGTATTTGAGGGAGGAGAATCAACGCATTGCCGAAACATCCTCAGCAGATCATTTCGTTTTGACTCCTGAGCAGGAAGAAGCAGAATTCCAACGTTGCTTACAAGAGAATGAGAAATGGAATAGAGAAGTAGCTGCTCTGCGTGAGCAACGTTTGGCCAGGGAGCACCAAGAAAAGCAGCAATATGTACAAGAAAGATTAAGACTGGCCGAAGAAAGAGAAGAGGAAAGAATGGAAAAGATTGAAGCTTTAGTGAGGAAAGAAAAGGTAAAACAGTTGAAGACTGGTTCAACAATTTTGTAGAGCAAATGTTTAACTAATTTTATTCTTCCACCCTAGGAACTTTCCAAGACATTCATTACCCGAGAAAATCTTGATGCTGCCATCGAACAGGCCTTGGCAAATCCTATCGATTATAATTTCTCCATAGATTTGCAAGGTAATCTGTATCACGGCCGTTCAACAACTCCCGGAAATACCTCTGGCGGTGGCAATCAAAACCTTTTAGAGTCTACAGAAGAACGCATTGAAGCCCAAAACTAAAGGTTTATTTTAAGTCTCAGCTGTATTTTTATTGTTACATCAGTGGAGTCTCTAACATAGCTAATCATTTGTTTTATTTTTCTTTTGAAGATGATGTGGAAAAATGCAGAATAATTTCAGAGCTCTTTAGAATAAAAGGCCAATAACAAAAATCATTACTAAAACGTATTTTCGTTTTTATATACACGACGAATTGTTTAAGGAAACAAATAAACATGCCAATAAGAGCACAACATACAGATAGCATGTGCTATAGTTTACCATCCGATAGAGGCTGTTTTAGTAAATGTTCCCAGTCAGGAGTGGCTGTGATTTTGGCTTGTATGGGTCCTAAATTAATCATATTACCGCTTCGTTCCTCTCGATTACAGCTGATTGACATTAAATCCTGCAACCAAATGAAAATTTAAAATGTTCTGAATATATGCAATATTTTTCTGGGATAATACCTGTAGAAAACCAGTTTCCATGCCAATGTCCAAGTCAAATTGTGTTTCTCCTAAAACTAGTTTCGTTTTACCGGATTTATAGCGTATCAAACGCCCCACTTGACCCTCTTCCATTTTCTTAAGAATATGTTCTTTGACAGTTTTTTTCTGATTTTCAATGGCGGGTGCAGGTGCTTTAGGATCTTCATTAGGAGATTTTGTTATCTCTGGCGAATCATTGTCATCATCTACACATGGTAAAGTATCAGGCAGCTGGAAGGAAACACTTTTTTAATTAGAAAAAAAATGACAATTGTTATGTTAACTTACCTGCATTAGGAATATTTTGGAATCTGATGTATTATTTAAAAGTTCGTCCAATGACTGGGGATAACGAGGCAATGGGCGATTTTGTTGCTGGGCAACGTGCATTGACTGGATTTGTGATGCTATGGCCACAGCATCTGTTAAATAAAAATAAACGGTTAGTAAACATTTTGGGGCGAATATTTGGGGGCGATATGTTTGATAGGGATACTTATAAATTACCTTCACTTGATAAGGATGATTGGGTGTTAGAGACTTCGGTTTTTATTTCGGGTTTTATGTACTTCCATTTGGCTTTAGTTAGAAAATCCAAATATTTTTTAGAGGAAATAGGGCAAGGACAATGGTATTAAACGAAATTCATTCATTTAATGAAATAGTCCATTCGGAAGGTACTTCGAAATGTTAATAGAAGTCCTTCGGTGAACTTCTGAACTAATATAGGATGTTTTGGCAGCATTTATGGGTCGTTGGGCTCAGGCCATATTGCTTGCTCAAATTCCCGTAAAAAATGCATTTAAATATACCACTTACCCTCATTCAGTAGCACAGGTATTCTATCCATATCAGTCTTTTGTTCATCATCTTCTTCCTCATCATCATCTAGGCCTCTTAGTATATCTTTATCTCTAGCTAATTCAGCCTTTAAATCCATTTTCTTTTCTGTTTTAAATATGGTGGGTTTACGCATGGCTGATGGTGAGTCATCCACATCTCTGGAGTATCCTGACGAATTTGTTGTTTTGCGTATGTTCACAGCTCCAGCTCCTTCAGAGAAAACGCCCGCAGTCTGTATCAAATTTGAAGCACCACCTCTTCCGCCACGACTTCCGCCCCTACCAGCACCTCTGTCTGCACCACGCCCCCGGCCACGACCACGCATTTGTGTGGTATCTTTCGAGGTTTTAACATTGCTGTATTAAGGAAAATACATAAAATAGATCTTCGAGACGATGATGATGACACTACATTTGCACTTACGTATTCTTGTTTCTAACCACGTTGAGATTTGGCAGAAATACTTTTTTGGCCGCTGTGGAGCTTCCCCTGCCGCCCAAAGTCAAGTCCCTGGCCGGAGTCAGTGAGGATAATTTAGTGATTCCATTCACTATGGGAGAGCTGTTTTCACGTTTAACATTCCCCTCAATGGGAGTAACAGAAGGAACCGCATTGTTGACAGCTGGCATTTTTGAGGCAGGCTTTTTCTCATTACTTGTGGACATAGGTTTAACTTATTTTCGGTTCTATTGTGCGTTTTATTCTTAATATTCTAAATACACTATATAATTATTAGCACTTTCGGTACAAACTATTCAAAATTTAAAATTGTTAAAAAAAACCTCAGGAAGTCAATTGTTCCTACATTTGGAATTATACCACGAGTATAGCCATTTCTTTCGATAATTACAAAAGAAAAAGTTAACAATCGATAACTTCTTTTAAAGTATCTTATCGTTACTATCGACATTGACATCGATTGTTTGCCAAATAAGAAATAAAAAAGAAATGCCCGATAAAAAAGAACGAGAAAGCAAAATCACCGAGGGACCTCTGTTGTTTACGAATGAGACATGGGAAATCGAACCGCTGGCCACATTCATTAATGAACCGGGGGAGTAAGTTCCTTCAACTCGAGGCCGGCTTTTTTAACAAATATAAGGGTGATAAAGATCGACAGAAACCATGATACAGGATTTGAGAAAACAGCTGTCTGGAATTTACGGAAATCTTCGACGAAGTTAATGGAGTATTCGGTTCTTAAACATTTTAAAGAGTCTATTCTTTAAATATTAATTCTTATTTTGATATGTAATTTGTTTATTTAATTAAATATATATAAACATACACATATGGAGAATAAAAACGGAAATCTTATGGTTCATCATAAGTACCATATTTACAAGAAGATTTGGAACGTCTTGATTTTGAGTTTAATGAATTTACATTGTTTGTTTCTTCTTTCAAATCCCAATATACTTCTTCCCGCTTAACTTCTTCATTTTGACATTTTGATAATAGAAATTCAAAGAAGTTCAGATAACGTACATGACCTTCATAGATCGACATAAAATCAAAATATTTTGGATATTTACGATGTTTAACCATTGCATGATACAGGCCCTTCCTTTGTAATTCCACAGCTTTTCGCTTCTCGTGCTGTTGATGGCGTTTTTGCCATGCTACGATGCTAAAATTTCGTTTGACTTTAAGAGCCGATTGGGGTCGTAAATGGAATTCAACAAGTTCTTTCAGTTTAGATTGTAATTTTTTAAATTCGACATTTTCAAGTGTTTCCATAAATTGGCAAATATTTTGGGAGTTTTGCAGCTGAGTTGGTATTTTGCAATAAACTCTAAAAGAAATAAATTTAAATGTTTTCCTTAAAATTTCTTTTTTTTAAGATCTAAGATATCAAAAATAATTTCACAAAAACAATATTATGTAATTTCAAAACAATTTGTTATTGAATAGAAAATGACAGTTGTTTGTATTTAAAATAAATAAATACTCTCGACTTTTTATTAGAATTTGTATCAATCATCCAAAAATATTTACCCTCTAACATTTGTTTATTTCGCAATGTTGGGTAAAATTTTGAGTCTGGCAACACTATTTTAGATAACGCTACAATGAAAAGTTTAGTTATAGTTTATTCACTTATGAGTAAAGTTCCATTGACGGAGGACGCTGTGTTGTTTTTTTTTGCGTACATAATTCACCACCCCCAGAAATGTCTTCACCCTTGGTGCCTACTCTTCTTAACGAAGCTCGCATTGTGCTTGCGTTGTGTGAAGCTCACAAAACAACTGTCGAGTGTGTTGAAATAAAAGCTTGTGATTTTAAATTATCTTCAGCGAATGGAGAAAATTTTTGCAGTGACATCTATGAAGTCGATGTAAACTACGAAATAAACGGCAATGCCATGCAAAAGTCTTTTATTTTAAAACTAATGATACCGGAAATTGCCGAAATTGGAACCAACGAACAGTTAATGTTTACCGAAGTATTACCGGCTATGGAAGGGTATTTGAGCACTGTGGAGGGGAAAGGGACCGACAAATTATTTGCCAAGTGAGTAGTAAAAGATACAAGTTTATTATTATTATTATCACTATTATCATTATTATTGTTGTTTTAATATAAATTAAACTCTCCGAATGACATTTTTGTAAAGCAAACTGCAATCACTTGTTTGTCTCTTTACATATCTCTTTGTGAACCCCGATAACAGTAACAAAGAGAAATTGTTAAGAGAGTTAATAAATGAAACATAAACATAGTAACTCGATTATAATGAAACACCAAGTATTAATTTCAGTCATTATTTTCTTCTATAACTTCACAATTCAGATGTTTTTTAACTGAACGCCAAGGGAAACATGAATTCTATCTTTTGGAAAATTTAAACACTTTGGGTTATATGTGCGGCGATCGTGTGAAAGGTTTGAACGAAGCCGAAGGCCACATGGTAATGCAAAAAATTGCCAAATACCATGCGGCCTCAATTTTATATCAGAAAGAGGTACGTTGAATTGAAATTGAAGAATGTAACCTCATTAACAAAATTGAATCATTACAGTTCCCTGATATTGTTGACAGTCTTGAAAAATCCCATTTTGCCAAAGGAGCAGCAGATGTTGTGGCCGAAGCAATTGCCTTTGGAGGTTTTGAATATGTGGCAAATATGATTGAAAAATGGCCGGGATACCAACACTTGGCACCTAGGCTGTTTAATCTTAAAAATGGCTTTAATGATTTGGTAAAGCAAGTGGTGGATCCCTCTAGGAGTACTTTAAACGTTATTACCCATGGAGACTTGTGGGTTAATAACATGCTTTTTAAGTATGACAAAGATACCCAAAACCCACTAGATGCTGTTTTTGTAAGTTTTATATAAATGTAAAACATGTTTCTTACAAATATTCCCATTCAAGGTGGATTTTCAAAACACATTCTGGGGCAGTTGTGGTTTCGATTTGAATTATTTCCTGTACACAAGTTTGGAATTGTCAGTTTTGCAGGAAAAGAAAGAAGATTTGTTGCAAACCTATTGTGAGGCTCTAAGAAAAACTTTGGTGGAGAGTAGATTTGAGGTGGATAATATACCCAGTTTGGATGATGTTTTGGCGGAAGTCAAACATTGTGAACTAATTGCTTTGTATGTCTCGTTATGTGAATTACCAATAATTGCCTTGGATAAGACATCATCGAAACATTTCACTTTGGAAACCTTTGAAAATCCCGATGAAATGTCAAAGATGCGTACCCCAATGTATGCCAATCAAAGAGTCAAGGATAATTTATTGTATACATTGAAATGTTTTGAAGAGAGTGGATTGTTGTAAAGTAATTCAAATTGTATTATTATAGAATGTTGGAGCCATTGTAAAATTAATTTAAAGTCACCCTATTTCAAATAATAACATCAACCAAAAAAAACCTTTTACTATATCTGATTTGTGTATATACAATGGATAAATGAATATATATTTAATTCCAGAACTTGAAAGAATGTAAAAATGTTACCACGACTACCAAGCTTTTCCCTATGAAATCTAAAAAAATTACAAAAATAGTAGTAGAATCTTGCAGGTTCTAGATCGGCCTTGATTCTTGAATATTTTATAAAAAAATAAATGTAGGTGCATTAAAAAAAATTAAATTACAATATTTTTATTTTTTCGTTTTTTACCTTTAATTATACCATTTTGTTTTTGTGACAAACAATAGCTTTTGGGAGCCCACAAACAATACTCACTAATTTTATTTCACAATAGTGAGCAATTAAGTTTTATCTACAAGCTTTCGTGTAACCAATGTATGGTTCAGTTATAGCAAAATCGCCCTCCAGTAAAGTTCTATTGACGGAGAATAGCACATACATTTCCCCTCCCATTGAATATGGTTGCACCTATAGCATAGACAAATTAAGGTATAGACTAAAAAGTTTTAAAATTTACCCCTTCCGGCAGATGTCACTATTGTTGATCTTGGGCCAGTCAAGTCACTCAGGGCTAGTGAAGTCACTCGACTTCGAAAATAATTTATTAATTTTTTGCTATTTAAGTTCTATATTTTTATATTTCACGTCATATTTGGATAATGTAAAAATAAACAAAGTCACTGTTTCGTTTTTAATTGATAAGTAATAAAGAATCATAAAAATATTCAATATTTTGTATTTTGAGAGAATTGAGTGAATAGACTTTTGCTCTCTCACAGCATGAACGACATCTATTGAAGCACTTTTTTCGAACATAACAGATGAGACAACTTTTTAGTCTATACCTTAATTTGTCTATGCCTATAGTACCTAAACTTGTCGACGAAGCTCTTATCGTTCGTGTTGTGTGTGAAATACATCAAACAACTGCCGAATGTGTGAAAATAAAAGCTAGTGATTTTAAGATTTTATCAGAGAATGGCGAAAACTTTTGCAGTGACATCTATGTGGTGAACGTTCAATACGTACTGAATGGCAATGATAACCAAGAGACATCGTTTATTTTAAAAATTCTAAAACAAGGAATAACAAAGATTGGAACAAATGAAAGTTTGATGCTTACGAAAGTTCTGCCAGTCATGGAAACATATTTGAATGTTATGGAGGAAAGAGAAAAGGAGAAACTGTTTGCCACGTAAGTGCTTAAATTTTACTTGGTAATATTTTATTTTAAAACAATTACAGTAATATTTCTTTATCGGATAAAACATCTGAATTAAAGTAAAAGTATGTTTATTGTATTGAAAATTTAAATCCACTAGGCTTAGTAAATCATGTAAACTGTAAATCTGCTATACGTTGCCACTAAGGTTTAGTCTCTAATGGTTAATGGCAAAAGTAAACAGAGAAGTTTCAAGAACTCATGTGGTACTCTGATATTCAAAGAGAATAACAACCGTAATTCATGTTAAGAGAAGAGAAAACAAAGAGATTCATGAAACCATTAATGAGTTAATAAAAAAAGATAATGGAAATTATTAATTTTTAATACACTTTATTTCCAGATGCTTCCTAACTGAACACCGAGGACACCAAGAATTTTATGTTCTGGAAAATTTAAATGCATTGGGTTACTACTGTGCCGATAGAGTGAAGGGATTGAATGCAGCCCAAGCGAATTTGGTGATGAAGAAATTAGGAAAATATCATGCGGCCTCTATGTTATATCAGAAACGGGTAAGTTTTGAAATAAACAATACAAAATGTAACCAAATGAGCTAAGAAAATTCTTTCAGTTCCCCCAAGTAGTTGAGAGCCTGAGAAAATCTCAATTGGCCAAAGGATATTTGGATGCTGTGGGTGAAGCCATTATCTTTGGAGGTTTCGAGTATGTGGCAAATATGACTCAAAACTGGCCAGGATATGAACATTTAAAGCCAAGACTACATGAACTTAAAAATAGATTCAATGATTTGGCAAAGCAAGCAGTGGATCCCGCCAACAGCAGTTTTAATGTCATAAATCATGGAGACATGTGGGTAAACAATATACTTTTTAAGTATGACCAGGAGTCTCAGGAACCTATGGATGCATTATTTGTAAGTTTTGAATGGGGAATCTTCTGAAGTTTTTTTTTTTAAAAAAAAAACATTATTCTAAAATTTTTAGGTGGATTTCCAAGAAACCTTTTGGGCCAGCTGTGGTTATGATTTGAGTTGTTTCCTTTACACGAGTTTAGAATTGCCGGTCCTAAAGAATAATAGAAAGAAATTACTGCAAACCTATTATCACAATTTAAAAGAAACATTATTGGAGAACCAATATCCCACCGATGCTATACCTAGTTGGAGAGGTATTTTGTTGGAATTAAAACGTTGTGAAATAATTGGCATATATGTAACGTTAAGTGAATTTCCAATGGATGCATTGGATAGAACCACATCGAAGAGTCTCACTTCGGAAACATTTAAGAATGCCGAGGAATTGGCAAAGATGCGCATACCAATGTATGAGAATCCAAGGGTGCAAGAGCACTTGTTATATGCTCTAAAATATTTTGAAGAAAGTGGTTTGTTGTAAAGGAAATAAATTTAAGTAAGTTCTACAAAGACTTCTATCTGAAATATTTTTTACTTACCTTAGACTACTGATTATGGGAAAATAGATGTCATCTTTGTTTGGCTTTTTGCTGGTAGTGCAGTGAAATCTTGGAAATTTCTTCATATCATGTTCAAAGTACTCAATTTTGTGTTCCATCAATTCGTTAATGGTTTTCAATTCTTGGGCCTGGAGGATACAGTTACCACAGTTAAATATATAACCAGATGATTGAGGCAAAGCTTCAAGGAATTCAAAACCTTAAACAAAAACATTTATAAAATCGAATGCGAATATAAAATTACCATTCGTTACCCTTTCCTTGTTTCTCCACAAAATAGAGTTGCTTTTTTATTTGACCATTATATTGGTAAAATGTGGCAATTTGATTTACCCAATGTTTGAAAACATCCGTTAAATAATCTGCATATGACAATCGCAGCACTAAGGAATCCCTGCAAGGATAAAGATAAAAATAAGGGGGGGGGTGCAAGGAAAAGGATTCAAGTAAAATGAATACACATTTATTTTTATGTTAATTTGAATTTGAAAACAATGTGTGAGCAGCACTCTGGGATGTTTTTTTCTTTCTTAGCATTTCTCCGGGATAATTTGCGGTTTGCCGTATGTACGTCTTAACTGACTGACAATTTTCCACTTGATAAAACATTTTCATTTGCATAATAATGTTCAGAGCAAAAGATAATAATGCATTCCAGACATTTCAAGCTAAACCTTTGCCGTTTTTAACGTTCTTCCACACCGTCAACAGAACAGCAGCAACAACAACAACTATCATTGTCAGCATCCGTGGCACAATGCATTTGCAACACATCACATCACCATTGCCGTCATTATCATCATCTGTATTCATGTCCAACACTGCTCCGCACTAATCATAAATGCAAAGTATCATCACCCAACAATGACATTATGTCACAGAGAGTGGATGTGTGGCCAGATATGGAAGCAATGTTCTTCTTGCATGACGAAATATCCTCAGCCAGATATGCTGAAAATTTTCTCCACTCGGTTAAGTCGAAATGGGGGCCTCTCCCAAGGGTATTGTTAAAGGAACTCATATTTTCTTAACGAATGACACGGAATTAACGATCTCCTTTGAGTCAAGGGATTTCTAGTCTACATAGTCGTTAATTTTCACTGGTTGCATAGCAGCTTTGTAGGTAAATGTATTTCTTTCAATAACGGTTTTATAAAGTTTTCAAGGGATTTTAATAGCTATGTTGTTAAAAATGCATTTTGATAAAATATGTGTACAGTGGAACAAAGGACAACATTTTTGGCATACGAGTCCTTGGGTCGATTTGATTAAAGCAGACGAGTCCAAAAAAAGTAGATAATCCCAGACGTTATCAACAGTAGAGTAGATAAGCCCAGGGGTCATCTACTGTAGAGTATATGAGCCCAGGGGTCATCTACAGTGGAGTAGATGTGCCCAGGGGTCATCTACAGTGGAGTAGATGAGCCCAGGGGTCATATATAGTGGGATAGATGATCCCAGGGGTCATCTACAGAAGAGTAGATGAGTCCAGGGGTCATATACAGAAGAGTATATGAGCCGGGGGGTCATCTGCAGTTGAGTAGATGAGCCCAGGGGTCATCTACAGTTGAGTAGATGAGTCCAGGGGTCATCTACTGTAGAGTAGGTGAGCCCAGGGGTCATCTACAGTTGAGTAGATGAGCCGTTGTTTTCTATAGTGTCGTTGTTTTCTAGAGTATAAGAGCCCAGGGGTCATCTACAGTGGAGTAGATGTGCCCAGGGGTCATCTACAGTGGAGTAGATGAGCCCAGGGGTCATATACAGTGGAGTAGATGAGCCCAGGGGTCATATACAGTGGAGTAGATGAGCCCAGGGTCATATATAGTGGGATAGTTGAGCCCAGGGGTCATCTACAGCAGAGTAGATGAGCCCAGGGGTCATCTACAGAAGAGTAGATGAGTCTAGGGGTCATCTACAGAAGAGTAAATGAGTCCAGGGGTCATCTGCAGTTGAGTAGATGAGCCCAGGAGTCATCTACAGTGGAATAGATGTTCCGCGGGGTCATCTACAGTAGAGTAGATGAGCCTTAGGGATAATCTACAGTAGAGTAGATGAGCCGTTGTTTTCTATAGTGTCATAAACTAAAGATTACCTTTCAATATTCTGCTCATCCTCTAAAAGAGATTTTCGTTCCAATATCACAGAAATCTCAAGACCATCCTCATCCACGGAAAAATGTAAGCAATCTGCAATCCAAAGGTGAACAACTAACTGCATTGCTTTTCCAGAGGCTCCTTCTTGATCTTTCATCTCATAATGTTTTTCGCATGAGTTCCTTTGATTGGAATCCCCAGGGAGTGTATATAAAATAATACCCTCAATACCCAAAATTTCCATGATTATGGGCGACTGGTTGGAAGCGGAAGTGTCCAACCATTTAATATGTACGCCAGCATATGAAGTATGCTGCATCCAGAACCTGTTACAAATATAATTAACAAATCTCTCGTCTTCATGTTCTTCTGGGCATTCGGTGTTCATGGCTTTGAAATGGTTAAAACGCTTCATATTTTCAGATTTCACACCTTTTTCTATGTCTTCTTCTTCTTCGCATAAAATATGCGAAGAGCTTTGAGAAATTTGGCTGTCTGTGGAGAAGGGATTGTAAAAATTAAAAAAGTTCCTTTTTAAGTCCATAATACTCACCAAATTCATCTGAGCCAAAAATGTGCGTTTTCTCTTCAGTTTCTGTAGTAAAAACAGTGCCATCTGCATGATAACACCTGAGAGCGTCTTGAGTCCAAATCATTTTGACACCATCATCACGTTGAAAGTAACTCTCGTTGGCAAAATAATCATGCCATTCTTGTATGACAAAGGGTTTCTCTTCAAAAACCTTGGAGAGACATATATTTTGGTAGAAAAAAATATAAACATATAATAATAATAATATCTTAGTTAATATAAATAAATTAATGTAGGTAAATTAAAAAAAATAAATAAATAAATTAATATTATGTAGTTCATCGATGGTAGAAGAATACAGGTAGATGCATAAACGATTGGCAACATTGATATGTCAAAATTGTTAAAATGTTTTGTCAACAATAAGTAGATTTTTATACGTTTTCTTATACGACAAGGTTGGAGGTTGTTATGATGTCTATTTTTCAACAATTTTTACAAATTTGAATAATTTTTCGATCAAAATTTTCAATGTCAAAGTTGGTTTGACAGTTCATTGTCCAGCTGATTAGATACGACTACCTGTATTCTCTACCATGAGTTCATCCATACATTTACCTTCCCTGTCTGGTTACATGGAACCTCTTTCCCTGAGAGGTTGTTATTCCAAGGTGCATGTAACTGAGTTCATATAACGTGCAAATGTGGAAAAGGAACTTCAGTTCATCGTCAATGGAAGCTT